ATTGCCCTCTGTACATTTGACATCCATATGCACTATCTTTGGTGTTACTATTAACATGTGGCTAGCAGGAAGGAAAAAATGTGTCAAAAATTTGAAAATTTTCCATTTTTCTTCTTATGGTGAAAAAGATTAGGAAAATCATGAGTGAGGGAGGAGAGAGGAGAAAAGGCGGCGTGGGGAGGAGGAAAGCACAAGCTTCCACTGTGTATAAATAGGAGCAAAAGTTTGGTTTTACCAATGACACTTATAATCTATGTCACTTATAATCTATGTGATTAGTGACAAATATGAGTTCCATGTATCATCAGAATCTGAAGACTTCATTCTAAGTAAGAAATATAAGTGTCATATATTAATTTTCTATAGTTATTTTAAAACTAAATTCTAAAAAATGCAGAATGAGACTATCAGTTGAACATAAATTTGATTCTGTCAGTTTAGCTCAGAGTTGTACTACAGGATCTTGTTTTGTGTTACACTAAGCAGATATATTCTCAAGTACATGGCAATGCTTTTGAGAAATATTTTTGACTATCTTTCTGACATCATTCAGAATAATGTAGACTTTGTATCCAATGTTCTATTTTTGGCCTCAGAATAGGACTGCCACTTAGAATGATCTTTTGGTCAAAGATCTTAAGGAAGCTGCTAATTAGCTTTCAAACAAAATGTGAGAGGAATTTTCCACAAATAATTTTTTATTGATTTTATTAAGCTCTACATATTTTTCTGCTCTCCTCCCTTCCTTTCCCCTCCCCTTCTACCCTCTCCCATGGTCCTCACGCTCCCAATTTTCTCAGGAGATCTTGTATTTTTCTACTCCCCATGTAGATTAGATCTATTTATGTATCTCTTAGAATCCTCACTGTTGCCTAGGTTCTCTGGGATTGTGATTTGTAGACTGGTTTACTTCGCTTTATGTTTAAAAAAATCACTTATAAGTGAGTACATGTGATAACTGTATTTCTGTGTCTGGGTTACCTCACTCAAAATGATGTTTTCTAGCTCCATCCATTTTCCTGCAAAATTCAAGATGTCATTATTTTTTTTCTGCTGTGTAATACTCGATTGTGTAAATGTACCACATTTTTCTTATCCATTCTTCAGTCAAGGGGCATTTATGTTGTTTCCAGGTTCTGGCTATGACAAACAAACCTTCTATGAACATAGTTGAGCACATGTCCTTATGGCACGATTGAACATCCTTTGGAAGTAAACCCAAAAGTGATATTGCTGGGTCTTGAGGAAGGTGGTTTCCTAATTTTCTGAGAAATTGCCATACTGATATCCAAAGGGTCTGTACCAGCTTGCACTTCCACCAGCAATGCAGGGGTGTTTCCTTTACCCTATATCCTCTCCAGCATAAGTTGTCATCAGTATTTTGATCTTGGCCATTCTTACAGGTGTAAGATGGAATCTCAGAGTTGATTTGCATTTCTCTGATGGCTAACGATGTTAAACGTTTCCTTAAGTTTCTTTCAGCCATTTTAGATTCCTCTGTTGAGAGTTTTCTGTTTAGGTCTGTATTCCATTTTTTTTATTGGATTATTTGTTCTTTGTATATTTTGGAGATCAGATCTCTGTCTGATGTGGGGTTGGTGAAAATCTTTTCCCATTCTGTAGACTGTCATTTTGTCTTGTTGACCATGTCCTTTGCTTTACAGAAACTTTTCAGTTTCAGGTGGCCCCATTTATTAATTGTTTCTCTCAGTGTCTGTGCTACTGGGGTTATATTTAGGAAGTGGTCTCTTGTGCCAATGCATGCAAGTGTACTTCCCACCATCTCTTCCATGAGGTTCAATGTGATTGGCTTTATGTTAAGGTCTTTGATCCATTTGGACTTGAGTTTTGTGCGTGGTTATAGACATGGATTTATTTTCATTCTTCTACATGTTATGCTAGCACTGTTTGTTAAATATGCTTTCTTTTATCCATTTGATATTTTTTGCTTCTTTGTCAAAAATCAGGTGTTTGGAGGTGTGTAGATTAATATCTGGGTCTTTGATTCAGTTCCATTGGTCCTCCTGTCTGTTTTTATGCCTATACTAAGCTGTTTTCAGTACTGTAGCTCTGTAGTAGAGTTTGAAGTCAGAGATTGTGATGCCTCCAGAAGTTCCTTTATTGTACAGGATTGTTTTGGCTAGCCTGTTTTTGTTTTGTTTTGTTTTTTTCTGTTCCATATGAAGTTGAGTACTGTTCTTTTGAGGTCTGTAAATTTTACTGGGATTTTGGTGGGCATTGCCTTGAATCTGTAGATTGCTTTTGGTAAGATTGATATTTTTTTACTATGGCAATAGCATACCATACCCAAGAGCATGGGAGATCTTTCCATTTTCTGGTGTCTTCTTCAATTTCTTTCTTCAAAGATTTAAAGTTCTTGTCATACAGGTCTTCCACTTGTTTGGTTAGAGTTACTCCGAGATATTTTATGCTATTTGTGACTATTATGAAGGGTGATGTTTCTCTGATTTCTTTTTGAGCCCATTTATCATCTCCACAGATACTTTTCAAGTCCAAATTTTAGGGGTAATTTCAAAGAAACCTGATGTTCCTGGTTCCACCTCCTGTGGACTGAGACTAGAGATATGAACTACCGCACTTGCACTGCTGGATGAATTCTCTAGAGCTCATTTAGTATTTAGCACTAGGGGTTGTATTGGTTCTATTTCTGTTGCTGGGATCAAACACCACGACAAACATGACACACAGCAGGTATACATAGCATTAAGTGGTAGGCGTGGAATCTGAGAGTTCGCATTCTCAGTCACAAGTATGAAGCCAAGAGAGTGAAGTAGTGGGTGAGGTCACACTATCCCAAAGCCTGTGCCCAGTGGTGTACTTCTTCCAGCATGCCTGCTCCTCCTAAAGTGCCCGAGCCCTGCCATCACCTTGGGAGCGCGTCTTAGATGCCGGACCCTGTGCAGCACATTGTTGTTTGACCCACTATAGGGGTGACTCAGGAATGTGGAACTCTCCCCCAATTCCCCGGTGCTCCTCCAGTGACCTCTAAAGTGCAATCGCAGCTTCCTTGCGTGGCGTGGCCACACTATTGAGTTTCTGCCCCAGGTTCTCCGGACGCTCGCCCTGCAGTCTTCTGCCCCTGCATGCTGTCACAGCTGCTGTGCCCCTGTAGGCGTCTCCCACCCACCCTGCCCTAGCATCCCTTCTCCTTCTAATCTCAAACATAATCAACTCTTCAGCCTCCACTCTTCGTGAAGTTCCTCTGGCAGAACAGACATCTCCCCCATCCCTTGGGCCGTAAACTTCTAATGAAAGCTGTGTTGGTATCACTGACCTGCCCCAGACACTACGATGCAAAGTGATATTAGAACATCTGTATTGTTCAGTCAGGAAGCCCCGTGGTATATTATCATACCTGTCACATAGTACATATGCATGCCATATTTAAAGCAGCCACTGTGCAAAAGTGGCTAAGGGATCATATTTGAAAGGTACTTGAAGTGTTATCCCCTGAGAGACAGTTCCCAGCTTTCACCTGAGTCTTAAGATTCTCTGGAATACAAATTACCTTCACCTAATACAACGAACCCTGGCCATTATGCCGCACAAGGTGTTAAACCAATCTAGTTTCCGCCCTGCTCATAGAAAAGGGTTTTGTCTTTCAGGTGGACCAGTTCATTACTAGGCTGAAATCAATCTCCAAACCCTAATATGTGCTGGAATATCACACTTTCCACTCTTCCCAAAGAGTGCAAATTCACTTACAGTGAAAACATGCATCACGACCTAGAGTTTCTAGACAGTATATTGCTCCTTCATGACCAATGGCTGCCATGTAGGGGTAGAAGGCATCTTACTAGGATTATCTGAGCTGTAGATTGGGTACCTAGGTCACAGTTTGAGGTCAGACAGGCCAAGGAATACTCATATTGGTGCAAGAGGAAAAGACCAGTCAAAAATATAAAGATGTAAGTCAAGTACCACTCCCTGGCTTGACTCCAGGGGTTTGGAAAGGGATGTGGACCTTGCTACTCCTCCGTAGGTCTGAGGCTCTGGTTGCTGACATGGCCAACCTCTGTAAGCATCTTATTCAAACTGCCATTGAGAAAGAGATCAGACATCTTGCACTCACCGAGTGCTGTCTCCTCTTCAGGCTGTCCATCACTGTCTATCAGGCTAACTCCAGGAAGCCTGGCCTCTGCACATGCCCTCATTCTCCATATTGCCAGAGAGGCTAAGCCAGTGGCCCAGAGTTACACTAATGGCCAGTGATGGACAAGGTGGCTATGGACCTGGGAGAGGTCTGGTTAGGTTAGCCTATAATTAGCCTTCCTCTATTTATCCTTGGCACCACTCCAGCCCTCCACAGCTCTCATGCCCACCTGTGCTATGTGAATTTCCTGGTTTTACCTCATTTGTTCATCAGAAGAGTCCCCAATATGGGCACCAACAAGTCCCATATATGACAGGCAAAGCATCTTCTGGAGAAGAGAACTTAGCCAGGTTCCCCTCTAAAGTGACAAGTTTAGGCCTTGGAAGAGACAGTGTAGTCATATGTCTGACCACCTTTTAGGGTTCCCTTCCCTTCTGAAAAGGCCCTCGGGATGCTGACCCAGCATGAGGGGTGGGTTTCCAGTTTTCTGTTGATGGGACACATCTTCACCAGCCAGCACCCTGCGTGCAGCACTGGATTCACCTCCCCAGCGCTGGACACACGTGCTGCCTGGTTCAACAGCGTCTCCCAGATCCCACCATCAGCAGAAAGTTTTCCACACTCAGGTGCAGCCGCCTGCAAGCCTTATTCATTTTCTTAACCAGCTGGGTAGCCCCGGAAAGTCAGTGGGAACTAGGCACCTTCCTACCTTAAGAGTATGGAGCAGCTCCCTGGTCCTCCATCCCAGGCCAGCAGCACTAGGTGAGATGTGCCGTGTGCCTGCAGCCTACCCACCCCAACCTGCCCGCTCCAGCCTGAGCAGCTCCCAGAGACAGCACGTGCAGAAGAAGTTGGACATAGTGCGCAGGCGCAGCAGACAGTCTGGCAGAGGTTGCACAGGGACCATTTTGGCCACACAGCAGAGAGAGCACGGGAGCCTGCCTTCTCTAACTGGAGCTGGTAGGAGAAGAAGCGCCTCCTAGAGCTGATGGGACAGCTGGTGAACCCTGCTTCAAGTGCGACCTGAGCCTGGGGATCAGGGTGAGCTGAGTGTGGCAGACCGTTAACCGCCATCAGGCTGAGCGGGAGTTGGAAAGTGTTGGAATGCAACGGACATGGGAACCCTTGGGTACCCTCAATGGCGATCAGGAGCATTGGATAGGACCCAGTGGCAATGTAAGACACCCAGAAAAGAGTGTAGTGTAAATCAGGCCGGGTGGAAAGGAAGAAAGTCGAGGAAAGTGTGGATGAGACTTGAATCCTTGGGGGACTGTGAGACACCTAGGGGCGGCTTGTGGGTCCGCGACAGTGAACTCTGAGCTCTGGGGGAGAAGAGTGGGGGACAAGGCAGACCTGCAGAGTTCAATATGTCTTCCCAGGAACTGCAGGAAAATCAAAGGAGTTTGAAGACCAAGTGTGCAGGAGGAAGGGAACAGACACTTGGGTTTTTAATGAAATTCAGAGACCTTGGAAGACTGTTTGGGTCAGAATCCAAGAATCTTAGGAGAGAGGACCCCAGTGACTACAGGGGACGAGTTCAGATCCTTTCCGACTGCTTAAGTAAGTTAAAGTAGATATCTGCTAGGGCAGGCTCCCTTCCTAGGGGTGAGATGTCATCCTTTGGAGGGTCCTGTATGGGACAATAGGACTTTCTTGTCCTTCCTGTCTCTGGAAAGTTGTGTGGGGAACCCCATGAGGCTTGGGATTTAGCACATTGGCTAAGAAGCCAGCAGCCTATGCCATGTTCACACTCCTCCAGGCAGACCAAGAAGTGTTGAAGACAGTGACTACAGCCTTTACAAGGGCAGGTGACTCAAGCAGCTTGCTCACTTTCTCTGCTCTTTCATCTTATCCCTGGAAAGGTAAATGAAGCCTCCCTCCCCTGCTGTGCCTGGGCTGGGTCTGTGGCTTCAGATGAGGACAGGCTGTGGTCCCTTGCCTGCTTTCCTCTGGGTAAGAGGAGGAACTCTTTTGATCTATTTGCATGCCCCTCCAAGGGCTGGTTCTGACTTTCTTCCTGCTGTGCTGCCCTCCTTGGTGTGGAGAGGAATGGGAGGCAGAGAAATGAGGCTGTGCTCATAAAGTTTACAACCATGAGCTCTGTTGTGTACTTACAGCAGACCTTTGTTGAGAGCAGGGTGTTGGTTGTCACCTGGGGAAGGTGGTGGAGAGACTGTGTCCTTCTCCTGAAGTATATGATGACTTTGGAACAGAAACAGTGTAGGGCCTTGTTCCATTTTAATTAAATGTTTGTTTTGAGTTCATCCATAGAGTGTACTCTGCTTCTATGCCTTGTCTATACCACATTCATGATGGCAAAGAGTTACTTTTAGGTGACTTCCAAATACTAGTCATTCATTTTTTCTTTCTATACTAAAACCAAAACAAATGCTAAAAGCTAAAGAACTCAGGCTAGGATATTTTCTCTGTATCCCCTTTTTTGTCCCACAGAAGAGAGTCATGTTGTGTGTTTTATACTATATTTCCTTGTAGGAGATAAAGGGCTTCTACAAACATCTCAAAAGCATACTATGTTAAGGTTAACACAGTCCTCTGACCAGACTTGGATGCTTTCTGTCTAAGGCCACCAATTAACCAGATGCACAAGCACGTTCTTGGACTGGTTCCTGGCCGGTATCAATTAGCTGCTGGAAAACCATGTCCAGTGCAAGGTGGTCTGTGTGTCCAAAAAACAAAAGTCTTAGTTGATGAGTCAAAAGAAATCAATTATGTTCCATTATATCCTCAAATGTTAGGCCTTACTGCTACCTCATTCTAGGTAGAGGTCCTCATGTATCCAGAAAGGACCATTAGCCCATAGGTAGTTCTTTGTAATGTACAAACTCAGAGGTCTGACATTCCATGGGGGAGAGTCCCGTTTGGAACAAGGTTTTGGGTTGAACACCTATTCTAAGAAGCTGCCACTCAGATTCCCAAAATAACCACACAGAAACCATATTATTTGCAATACCGTTTGGTCAATATCTTAAGTGTATTTCTGGCTAACTCATATCTTAAATTAACCCATCTCCATTAATCTGTGTATCACCATGAGACTGTGACTTACCAGGTTAAGTTCCGGCATCTGTCTCTGACAGTGGCTACATGGCTTCTCCCTGACTCTGCCTTATTTCTCCCAGCATTCAGTTTGGTTTTCCCCACCTAGCTCTGTTTTGCCCTGCTCTGCTATAGGCTCAAAGCAGCTTCTTTATTAACCAATGATATTCACAGCATACAGAGGGAAATCCCACATCACCTCCCATTTTCTGTTTAAATAAAAAAGAAGGTTTTAACTTTAACATAGCAAAATTACATATAACAAGACAGGTTTCAAACAAGAATTATAGTTACAATATTTATATCTACTTTATCTTTTATCATAACTAAGGAAAATTGTAATTATAACTATTCTTCATTTTCATCAAAGACTCCAGAAGGATATAATATTACCTAAGTAAACAGGAAGTACATTGTAAGTAACTTCTAAGACTTTAGAATTGACAGATACATCTTGCTACCTGAACAGTCACCCAAAGTTCTTTTGTACCATTGGGGCATCCATCTTCAGCCTACAGGTCCATAGTATCCAGTAGACTCCTCTATGAAGCAGGAAGACCTAATTTGACAGTTTGTCAGTAACTTTCTTCTGTGTCCTGCATAATGACTGACAGTCTCTTATATGAAGCAGGAACCCTGAAGGACTTGCCTTCTTTAGGCAACTTTAGCAGTCACTTTTTTCTGGGTCCTGCGTGTTCATTTCATAAGCATAAGTATCAAGCAGTCTAGGCAAGAGCAGTTTCTTGCCCAAATGTCTAACAAACTCCATGAGGAGCCTCTCCAGTGCTTATCATCCTCTTAAAGTAATTGGTGCTGCCAGGAGCAGAAGTGTCTCATTGTCATGAAAAGTCTTAAGCTCTTAAAACATTTTAAATGCCATGTTCTGAAGGTCTCTGAAAGATTTGAAGAATACATATCTAACTGAAATCTATCTTTATCTAGAAAACCTAACTAACATGACTACAATAAGCTTGACTATTACAGATGATTACTTATTAACCTATATTTCTTAATTATACATTTTAAATGAGTTGCACAAGCACAAGACCTTAATCAAGAGCTGAAATATCATATAACAAAACTGACCTTAAATTTGCATCAATAAACCAAGTTCCACACCAATGCAAATCTCTATATCATATCTCACTTTAAATGTAAACAAACATCTATAAACAATATTTGGGAATTTTGGTGTAGTTACCTCCCAAACTGCTTTCTGCTTTTTATTGGGTGAAGTATTTTCTTTCTGGGGGTATTCATGGCAATCTTTTAGGTGGTCTCTGTCCATCAAATCACATCAGTCTGAAAGGGTTCCACAGGTTCTCATCTTCTGTGGAAACAAAAGAAGAACCTCTTTTTCAAAGCAACATGTCCTTAGACTCAAATTTTGAAGTCAAGAAATCTTTAAAACATATATGTTGGTTTAGCTTAGCAGTTCATATGATGAAAGGTATCTATATTTAGCTCCTTAACAGTCAAAAAATTTAAAGAAAACACAATAATATGCATAATCCAGACTCGCTGTACATATTCCATATTTACATGGCTTATTTTTCTTTATTACTTTTTCTATGAGTTTAATATTTATTATAGTATCTTTAGTCCTTTACCTATTACTGTCTATACTCTTTTATATTACATTTAGTGTCTCTTTCCTTTTTTCTGTCTCTCCCAAGCCTATGTACACTTTTTAAACACACTGTATCTCATTTAGAGGTCTTTTATGTCTGAATCTGTCCTATTGTGTATCTGAAATTCTTTTCTGTTCAGAAGAGCTTTTTAAAATGCTGCAGCCTGGCTAGTACAAAGGCTGCTTGGCCTTTTGGCTCTGCCCAGTCCAACATGGTGGGGTGAAGGTCTGTTTAATGCCAACCATGCTCACAGCCCCATTTCAGGCACACAGTGGGTCTATGTTGCCATTAAGCAATTTGTCTCACTTGTTCACAAACCCCATTTAAATGCTTTGTAGCCAGATCTCCCAAAAGAGTAAGAGTTCATGCTAAGAGCAAGGCTCAGGAAGCCACCATTTCAAAACCATGAGGCTTTTTTCTGCTACCACTGAATCAGGAAAACCTCTCTTAAAGGAGCCACAGCATGCCACCAGCAAGCAGAGCCCATTCAAAAATAAATGAATCTAAACTTTGTTTTTTAGTGTCGAGAATTCCTTTCCAAGCCCTCTCAGGTTTTATGTGTCTTTAACTGGCCATGTTGGAACACCAATTTGTTGTAAGAAGCTGCATATTTATTTCTCAGCAGCCCAGACTCCTGAAATAATCACATTGAAACCATATTATTTACAATACTGTTTAGCCAATAGCGTATTTCTGGCTAACTCATATCTTATATTAACCCATCTCCATTAATCTGTGTATCACCATGAGGCTGTGGCTTACCAGGTAAAGTTCCAGCATGTATCTATGGCAAGGCTATGTGGTTTCTCCCTGACTCTGCCTTATTTCTCCCAGCATTCAGTTTAGTTTTCCCCACTTAGCTCTGTTCTGCCCTGCTCTGCTATAGGCTCAAAGCAGTTTCTTTATTAACCAATGATATTCACAACATACAGAGGGAAATCCCACATCAAACACTCTCAGTCCTATCACGTGAAGAATCACAAGGAGGTTTCCAGGATGATGTGTCCCTGGGGTGCTCCCATGGTGGGGCCACCCTTCCACAGATTCTGTTTGCTTTGGATTAACAGTGGCTTGGCTGATCTCTGGAATGGATGAGAGACTTGGCTCTGGCTGAGTCACTTGTACCTTTTATATTACAATATGATTCAAACCCTCCCATGGCAGTAGGTTCTGGTGCTTGAGACATGGTCCAGGGCACCCAGCCCATGTGCTAGGCTTCTGTGCTGGGTCCTGGAGTGACAAGGAGAAGCAGCATCTGCCCTGAGATGGCTTGTGCTTCTCTGAGGGGGAGAATGAGTTCCAAGTTTGTAGCCCATACTCTCCTCAGAAAGGTCCTCTTTGGCCTTCTGCTGTCCTGTAGTAGTGATTAGAAGGTGGTCTATTAGCTAAGATGAGTAGACTAGGTTTTGAGTTGAAGCCAGAAATCTGAGAAAGTGATGCTGGTGGAATGGCATCTTTAGAGAATGGCACAGCAGAAAGTAAAGCTTTGCTCTTTGGACTCCATGCCGTGCTGTCCCTCAGAGGAATCAAGAGCAAAGTTACTGCTGAGACTGCTGTTGAGGGACAGCCCAAGAGTGGGAAGACTCTTGGGTACAGGTGACTGTTTCCTCCTTTGTTATGCTGGGTGTAAAGATACCATACAAGGTTGTCTTTAATCTCTATCCTAAAATTACCTGCTGTTTCCTCCAAACACTTCCTGTTCACTCTCCATGGAGGGTTCCAGCACATTTGTGTGGTCTGTTATGGCTCTGTAATCCTGAACACTGCATGCATCTCACTGTCCTCAGCAGAAGAACTGAAGCATGTTGGGAAGAGTTTGTCTCCGGTATCTGTGTGTATTCATCGGAAGGCAGCTTATGCTTATCTCCTATA